AGGGCGGGCGCCAGCCCCGACGGGCTGACTGACTGACTGACTGGCCGGCTGGGGCTGACTGACTGTGACTGTGACTGTGACTGTGGCTGTGACTGTGACTGGGGCTGGCTGGAGCAGACAGACTGACCGCCTGCCTGACCGGCCCCCGTGTCCCCACAGATCCTGGGCAAGGCGTACGCCGTCCTGAGCGACGCGGAGCAGCGCGCTGTGTACGATGAGCAGGGCAGGGTGGACGAGGACGGCGAGGCGCTGAGGGGCGAGCGGGACTGGCAGGAGTACTGGCGGCTGCTCTTCAAGAAGGTGAGAACCGGGCTGGGGTCTGGGCTCCGGCGGCGGGGCCCCGCAGGGCTCACCTCAGCGGGGGGACGGCAAGCCCTCTGGGGAGGGGAAGCCCCCTGCTTCAGAGTTGTAGCTTTGTCTCCCTCACGGGCTTTGTGTAAAACACTGGGTTTTCTTATGCTGCCTCCTAAATCCCTCTGGTGAATTAATCCTGTAACTCAAGAAGTGTCGCCTCTCTGCTTCAGATCACTGTAAAAGATATTGAAGACTTCGAAAAGAGCTACAAAGATTCAGAAGAAGAGCTAGCTGATATTAAAGCAGCATACGTGGATTTTGAGGGTGACATGGACAGAATAATGGAGTCCGTGTTGTGTGTGGACTATACAGATGAACCAAGAATACGGAAGATCATAGAAAAAGCCATTGACTCTGGAGAAGTCCCGTCCTACAAGGGTTTTGTAAAGGAGTCGAAGCAGAAAATGCTCGCAAGAAAAAGGCGGGTAGGTTATATCAATCAATCAGGGACCAAAGGGAAACATTATTTATAGTAAGTTTTTAATGTCTCTTGGTAGAAATACATGAAACTTCTTAAGACAAACATTTGCCACAGGATTGCTGGGTTACAGATTTTGCTCAGTATCTCTGACTTTCACATTTAGTCACCTGTGTTCTTCACCCCCACCTCCCCCAAACTGTTGTGAAAGGCTTTTGAACTGTAACGGGCTGTTGCCTGTTACTTCTTTCTTTTATTTCACTGTTATACACAATGGCTTATTACAGTTTAGCATGTCCGTGCATTTATTTACAAAGCCGTGAGTTGCTGGAGTTGTTAAGAAGTGTACGTGGGGTGGAAATATATTATGCTTACTTTTTGGCTAGTGTGAAATAACATTCTGAACTAAATGGAACCTGGGTTCTCCAATCTGGGGTTTTTTTTAGACACTTTGTAGAATGTTATATGCACATCACAGTAACTTTTCTCTAAGTTAAAGAAAATTTAATAGCTGCTAGGACTGAAAAAGGGGTGGGGGGAACAGGGATGGGGATGGTATTGTGAAACAGCAAAAACCTGTCCCACTTTACTAAATTGTGGAACCAGAACGGGCTTTGTTTAACTGACTTCTCATCAGTGGCCAAACTTGGAAACTCTTCATGTTTCCTTGCAGCTATTTGTATACAGATGCCAAAAAAAAAAAAGTTTGGTAACCACTATAAGACTTTGTCAAGTAACATGTGAAATACTTTTTAAAAAACTAGTTTGCTATTTTAGGCAGAAAAAGAAGCTAGAGAGGCAGAAAAGACTAAAGACGAACTGGGCCTTGGTGGAGAAGATGACTTGAAAGCGCTGATTCAAGTAAGGCTTTTTATATCTGTTGAAGATAATTATGTTACTGGCTTATAATAGTGTTTTCCCTGAGCATCACTGTATTTTTGATCCTTGCAACTCTTCCGAGTTCCTGAGGTTAAAACCTGACCTTAATGTTAACTATATATTTACTTTAATTAATAGTCAGAGTATGGTATGAATTTTATTACCTGTAACTTCTTAAAATTAACAAAGCTATTCTAATATCCTTACTGCAATCAAAATATTTAACTTCTAGATTTAGGCAGTTAGGGACTGATAGTTTGTTTCCTTGTGAGGGATTCCATAAGGATGTAGAATTTCATAGGTCTTACTATTTTGGTTTTGTATCTTGGGGATCAGGAAAGAAAGACTGTTTACATTTTGCTTTTCAGAATGTTTTCTGTTGTCCAGTGGGCTTCCTAGAATGTTCATGCCTCAAATTGTAATAGAGTTTTCAGTCTAAACTAGAAATTGCTTTGCTTTTCCTAGCCTTACGAGGTTTTTTTTATAGTTGTTCTTTACCTCTGTCTTGATACTTCTGGAAGTTAGGTATAGAGCCTACAGTATGCAAGTAGGCTTCTGCTTGACAGTATTATACCTCCTGTAGCTTGTACTGCCTGCCTAATATATTCTGAGATCTTATGTAGTTCTCTAACTTCAATAGAATAATCTGTATTGGGAAGTAGTAGAAGTTTTGAGGTTTGTTGTTTTTTTTCCCTCCTTCAGAGCAGAAATAAAGATCGAAAAAAGGAAATGGATGACTTTTTGGCGCAACTGGAAGCAAAATATGGGAATAATGCTAAAAAAGGAGGAAAGAAGACTGCTGCCAAGAAAGGAAAGAAATAAAGAACTCTGTAGGCTGAAATATCAGGTATTGTTTTGTATGGGAACACATGGATTTGGGAGAACCTCAGAGTTTTTTCTGGACTACTGTTTTGGAGTTTGCGTGCATCAGCTTGCTGTGACGGGGCAGGTATGATACAGAATGCATCATGAAGAAGAAAGACAAAGCATTCTGGTGCTACTGTTTAAAATACTGTGGATGCTCTTCAGTTAAGATCAAACGGATTCTTGACTAAAAGCTTTGTTACAGTAAGGAAGTGGCGTGATGTTTGGGATGCCTAGGTGTTTATGAAACTTGTGTTAAAGCACCTTCCTTCCAAACACCCAGCTGATGGGTTAAACAACGTAATCCCACACCTTCAAGAGTCTTCAGTGCTGGCTCCAGTGGCTTCTGAGTTGGAAACCCTTATCTTTTTGCTAGTGACAGGTTTCTTTTGTAACAAACCTTCTGCTGTTTTTAAAGGTCTTTACACTTCAGCTCAACAGGTGTTTTTTCAGGTATTCCAGTGGTTTTATAAACATACTTTGGAAAATTGCAGATTTAATAAACGAGAAGTTTTTGCAGAATTCTGTCCTATGTTGCTTCCCCAGGCCTCTCTACACTTTCTAAGTAGCTGTTCGGAAAAAAAAAAACCTGATCGTGTTGACTTTTCTGACTGATTTCAATCAAGTAAATATACGTTTCTATAGCAGCTGAAAATACGGCTCATATTGTTAACTGTGGTGTTAGTGCTGGTGATGCTACCTTAGACGAAAGGGCCACCTAGTGTTTGGTCTTTGCCTGTGGCAGATGCCTTAGGAAGAATATGAGACTGCAGCAGGTATGTGACTATGCAGAAATTCTCTAACACACACAGGTGAGGTACTAAACTTAAAAATTTGCAGAATGGAGTTGGTTCTGTGTATTCCTAGGGTTCGAGACTGCAGCAGGTATGTGACTAAGCAGAAATTCTCTTAACACGCAGAGGTGAGGTACTAAACTTAAAAATTCACAGAACGGAGTTGGTTCTGTGTATTCCTAGGGTTTCTGATGTCCCATGACAAGGAGTTCCAAAGCTTAGAAATGTATTGTGTGCTATTTCAATAGCATCACAGTAAAGTCTGCTGTAGGATAGTAGTGACTGGCTACTTCATTGTATTTGTCAACAGTTCTGTTATTTCAGAAGTTAATTACTTCTGTAAGATGTGCAAATACTAGGAAGGTTTTTGCTTCAGCTGGTTTTAAACCACTTGATGTAGTGTGCAGGGGGATGAATTCAAAGGGTAACTAGTTTTCAACTTACTCTGTAGCTGGCTTTATTTTGTGGATCACTTTTTCAAAGGCTTACGAGCCACAGGGTGAACGCTTACTTTTGAATTGAAGGTCCTCACTGCATCAGTGATACCATTCAGGACCTGACTATTTAACAGAGCTTCCTGGGGGGAAGCTAGAGGTAGATGGTACTCTGTTCCCTTTTACTTGCCTGCTTTCAAAAGTTATCCTGATTCTGAGAGTACAGCATATCGTTATGTTGCATAACACATGACTTGAATGTTACATTTACTACAAAAAATAGGTATCTAACAGCCCAGGAGAAGTCTCTAGTGTCAGCCATCTACAGAAACCAAGAATTACCCTACAATGAGACTGTTTTCACTTCTTTAATGCACTGACTCCTTTAGGCTATAAAATACTACATTATGGTATGAGAAGTCTGTTCAAGTTCATTTGTGTATTTCTGTAACTCTTACGCACCAGGGCTACAGAAAAATAACTTGGTCCCTGAGAAATGGCACGGGATGCTTATCTCCAGTTAGCTTGAGATAACTAAATGACACACTGTACAAAGTTCTGGTAGTCTTAGTTGTTAAGAGAAATTGTATTTTGAAAGAATTTGTTGAATAGAGGCCTCTCTTTAGCATCGGTTTATCTCTATGCAAACTTAAGAGGTTTAGATTGAGCCCAGTGCTTTTTTCCCCCCTCTAAAAATGCAAAAGAAAGCTAACCCAGTCACATTTGCACAGTTCTGCTTTGCTTTCTTTTCCCTTCTTTTTAATTTGAGCATGCTTGGATCAACGGGACTCATGAACTTCAATACTGATTTAAAATCATTAGCTGTTCTGTAGGTACCACTAACATTTGATGGATTGCATAACCTGGAGTGGGGAAATAGGGGAGCCGCTTCATAAAGAACACCAACAAGTTTTTTCCATTATGACTTGTAATTTGGAAAATATTAAAAAGGAAATTTAGAAAAAAAGTGCTCTTTAATTGGATTATAAAGGAACAACTGTTTTCATGCAGTGTCCTAACTTTGTTAAAATACAGTAAGTTGTTATCCTCACCTTGTCTTTACGCTTACTTGTAGTCCGGCGCTTACTGCTTTGTGAGTAAGACCTTCAACTAATCATTTGTTTTGAGAAGCTTGTATTTCATGTGTTTATCTTATTTTGGAGCCACAAGGGCAACTACAGCCAATACCTCCGGTATGTCTCGCACACAGTGCAAAACACATCTACTAAAAGCTACGTTTTATCTGTGGGTTGTGGAACTTCGTCGCGGAGTGCAGAAATCTTGTGTAAGTGCGGGTATTTTTAGAAAGGGAGACTGACCTATTCTGTGAAATGACCATAACATCTCTCACCAGGAAGACAATGTACTTTCCTTGAATATTGTCTGGAACTATTTGTAGTAAGAGACTTCTTTTTGCCTCTTAGACCTTCTTCAGTCACTTGAAGAAGAGGTGTAAGTATATAACACAGGAAAAGTCAGTGGCATGCTACCCTTAAAACTGTCAGTTCTGTCCATCTGGTTTGCTACCTTATTTTTACTCAACTGTGTATCTGCTGTAGTTACTACAGGATTCATAACTTGCCTAAGTTGAGCAGTATCATGTGGAGTGCTTGCTTTTGATAGTATAGTATTGCTTTAAACATATAAATATAGCTTTAAAAATTTAAATTACTACTGCTACAGAAGGCCTGATCAATCTTTTGTAGAGCCAACGGAAAAATCAGCAGGTTCTGCAGTACATGCCTGTAACGACATGAACCAGACACAAGCCAGTAAAGGGAAAACAGCAATGACTGAGAGCGTTTGCTAGATTTTCTAGGAGCTAGGCTTTACTATCCACTGGAGTATAGTCACCCTTCCACTGGAGTATAACTTTTTCTACTGGTAGAAAATGGAATGTTTAAGTATACCCCTTCTAATCTTTGGCAGCTGCTTCTTAGATTTTTATAAAAATAAATATTCATAAGGAAGGGTGTCTGAAAACTCTCTGTAAACAACACTGACATTGCTGAGAATAAGATGTGGTTCAGGACTCTCAAGATGGACAGATACTTCTTCATGGCACGTCAGAACCCCTGTTTGCTTTTTGTGACTGATCCACTTCGATGGTGGGCTTTCACAGAACCATGCAGCTGAAGACCTAATAAACAGAGATCATGCACAACTTGAAAACTTCTGGAAGGTATTAAAACTAAGTATCAAGCACATCTCCTTTAGCTTAAAATTAAAATGCCCTCTTTTTTTTTTTTTTTTTGGCATTTTCTTCTAATACGTGACTATCAACTACATTATATGTAACTTAACTCAAGTTTGAGACGAGTGACTGGCCTTCCAAAAGAGGCAAAGTTTGTGCTTTCATGGTTGCTGCATTGCAGGGAACTACTGTATTCTTTGATATCTCATGAAGTATCCCTTACTCTGCTGCTATCAATTTTTTTTGGGGGGGGGTTGTTAATACAGCAGTCATAAAACTCATCTTGCATTTAAAGATACCGGGTTGCTTTTTTTTTGAGGGGAGCAGATATTTATTTCAGTAGGAAACACTCCTTTCTTGCTTAAAGTTACTTCAGTTTAGTGCCTTTGTTAAACTCAAATTGCCTCTTTAGTAGCAGTAGTAGGCCATTCCACTACTAAACAAGCAAAAGACCTCTCCTGATCACCCACATACTTGGTACCTTAACTTTTGCAGCTTCCGTTAACTTTTGCAGCTTCAACCCTGTCTTGTTAGTTTATTTTTATATGAGAAATTCTGACAACTCCATAAGGAATCCCCAAACACTGTGATGAAAGGAATCCGCTGTAACTTGTCTTGACAGACCTAGTTTTCAGAAAGTGCATCTAATCCCCTGCTCTATGCCACCTGCTCCAGGTGGAGGTGATAAGCATCAGTGCAAAGTCAACAGGGAGTGCTCAAGGTGAACTCGGGTGAGAGTTACGAAGACAGCATTCAGTAAAGCTCTTCCAGGACACAAAAGTTAAGTTTTGCTCTGCTATAATCTCTGAACAAACTCCCTTTCAACTGACTAGCCTAGCTCTTCGTGTGTGCCGTGAGGTGAAAAACCTGAATCTCTGAAGGTACAGTTGAAATAAGTAAAGTTCATTAGTCTGCCGTAACACTTGTGTACATACGTACAACTTAGTTTTGTGGCTTCCTACTACGAAAAAAGAGGCAACCCTGGTTGTGACTGTGTAGCTATTCTGAAGCATATATGAAGGCTATTTTCCAAGTGTGCTAACTGTAAACAATTTAAGGAGATGACTTTGCAGTGAAGGAAGGGAAACTGGAGGGAAGAGTATGCATCCCATTCACAACACAAATGCCTTCCTGCTGCCTTGATACTTTGATCAATTAAAAAGAAGTCATTTTAGATGAGAATCATTTTAGGTTATGCCAAGTAACTAAAAGTTCATTCATGTGTTACAAATAAACAGTACAATGATACTCTGATTTCAGAGGATGCAGGTGAATTGTACTGGTACAGTTACTGGCTTTAAAATATACTGAGTTGACCTAGTGCGATTCTAGTACAATCTCTTCCAGATACAGTGCAAATAAGTTTCTTTTGGATGTTACACAATTTCTTTCAGTTGTATAGCTTAGCAGCAGAAAAATCCTTGGCCAGAAAGTATTTGTTGCTAGTTCTGTTGAAATTGGCAAGTCCTGCTCTTAAATTGGATGTGAGAGGCATTGGGGCTGATTACAATAAGCTTCCTTAAAGGATTTAATATACTAGGTAGGAATAAAATAAACAGACAACCACACACCCAATTGTACTCTACATGCAAGTGTAAGACTTGTATAATGGAAAATTTAAAACACGAAATAGAACTTAGAAAAACCTCCTCAATGTAATTACCTATGTAGGAAATGCCTCCCTGTCCCAAAAGCTTACCTCTTGATCTTATTAAATTCTGTGACTGATAAGCATACCTGAACCTGACGATCCTTTGCTTGTCCAAGATTGGTTACTATAATCAATAACAGTGCAAGAACGGCGGTGCTGTGGATCTGGCTGAAAAGACAGTTCAAGTTACTTATGTTTGCATAAAAAACTTTAAACATCAACATGTAAATGGAACTACAAACTACTTAAACATATGTATTTCCCAATTTATAAGATGTTGTAAAGGTCTGACTAGAGCTTTTACAAGATTAAGAAGATTTAAATCAACTTTAGGAGTGGAAAATATACTTTTATAACACTCTTAGAATGATCACTGGGCCAGTTAAAGGCATTCTCACCACTCTGGGAAACTGTTGTTTCCAAATAGATGTTAAAAAGTTTGTACACTCCTAACTGCTCAAGGATCTTGAAATTAAACACAGAAACCAAACCAGCAGCTACTTAAAAGCTATTGTTGAAGTTAACAGCTTTTAAAGCTTAGATAAAAATTCTTTGTTAGCTAGGACAAGATATATCAGTAGAGTAGGTGTTTCAGTAAATTAAACCAAGAGCATTTGGTACTGAAACAGACTGGACATTAATAGCACAGCCACCTTGTGCAAGAAAGCAATGAAGACTATCCTATCCTTGCCTTTCTGAATATAGCTGTAGGAATGACTTCCTATTGTCTATGCAAAACTTTAAAGCATCCTCTCCTACCCCACAGTTCTTCTTAAGTCTTCACAGAAGACCAGCTCACCAGTGCAGATAACAGACTGACTGTTACATCTAAGGTAAGGCTTGGCTTTTTCCACAAGCATGTCAAACTTGTATTTTTCAAGAAAATTTTAGTACCAGCAGCTGCATATAGGTGTAGTCAGGAGCTGGCTGTGAGGGCTCTAGCGCAATAGCTATCCACGAACAAGTGACTTGCCCTGTTTGTTTCAGAAGTGCCAAGCAATGATGTTTCTGTTAACCTGTGAGTATCTAATCAAGTGGCAAGCTTGATGAACTCCCTGGCATTGATCACCTGTGATATTTGGTTCTCAAGTAATGTTTACCTATGTTAATTGTCAAAGCTCACTATTCAGTAACTAAGGGTGATCTAGTATAATTTGCCATACTTTACCAAGAATGTGCTGGCTCTGTTAGGCTTGGAGAAATGATCAGGTAACAAAAGCCGCTCCTGTAGCTGCTGGTGGGTATCTTCTTGTGTTGTTACACTGTGAGCTCGACTTGAGTTCCCTCGAGATTTCTGCATTGCAGAATAATATAGTTACAACTTCTTCTTATTGTAGCAGTACATTTAAAATAATTAGCCTAGGAATTAAAGATGATTTTCCAAGTCAATCATTCTACACCTAGTTATGGGGAGGAAAAACTACTAGCATTAATTGGAATTAAAGCATTTAATTCTGGGTGATAGTGTTAGTCAAAATTGCTGTGGCATTTTTTGTACATCTGTTTCAGTTGCTGTCACTTAGAAGATAACAAATAAACTGGAACTCTTGGGTTTGGTAATTGATCAGCAGTGATTACAATTTTAGACTACTCAATAATAAAATTAAATGATTGTGCGTATTACCGTTTGCCTCTGGGAGCCTCCAGTGCTCACGTGCTCTGCCACAGTGGTGGTACTGATAGGTGGTAGGAGGTTATTTCGGCTTAGTGGCAGTGGGGAGGGTGAGGTCAGCTGCTCATGTGCAGTCAGACTGAAATGCACCGATAAGAACAGAAAAAACATACAGTTTATATGTTTGGCATTGCGTAAACATAAAATATTGTCAGTTTGTTTGGCATTATGTAGACAATGTTAAAACCAAGGGTTGCAAAATTTTGCTGTAAGATCCTGCTGTTAGGGCTGACTATTGGAGACTATATTTAAAAGAGGACTTCTACAGCAGGTGAAGTTTTCAGAATGTTTACTATTAAGCACATAGGCAAAGTAAGTCTGAGAATGAATGCCCCAGCAGAAATCCTGGTAATGGATGTATATAAAAGCTAGTTGGTGGTTAAAATGCACCTCTCATCCAGTGCATTTTGAAGGAGTGTGCTGTGCAGCTGGTATTGCAGAATAAAGGTGTGCGTACATAAAGCATGAGCGGTTCTTCATGAGCAGTTGCCATACAATGGTAGAATCTTGTTTGCCCATTCCCAGGCATGGCATTGTTTTCTGCTCTTTGTTCATATCCTTGAGGATGAACTACTGCTTACTGCTAAATTCAGCCTAGCAATTGAAGATAAACAATGAGCCTAGAAAATAGCAGCGGGCCATCTTTTAAGCAGAGAACATAAAAAGCTACATAATGCCAATGCATATTGCAGCTCTTTCACTTGATTACAAGTGTCATATAAAACATCGGGGGGTAAAACAAGGCTTCTACCTTCTCCATATTTTGTTTGAGTATTTGAAGGAACGAGGTGCAAGAAGCTTTTAGAAGCCTTCTAAAGGGAGCTAAACCAATTTAATCGCACAAAATACAAAATGAATTAAGCTTAGTCACAGGAGGCATGTAAGTATTCTATTTTCTAGATATAGCCTTTTCATATGAAAGCCTTTTTCACTAGAGGTGTCTGTATATTATTGTATGACTGAGAAGCGCTAGAAATGATCAAGAGGCCTTAGCTCTATACGTGTTTTGACTAAAGGAAGGATGTTCTGTAAGAATACATTAGAAAAGCTTCAAACCGTAATCACCATTTTAAAGAGGACCTTCCTAGTGCTGTCTACGTACATTTAAACATATATGCTAATATAATAAAGGGGAGACGTTAACAATTGTTAAATTGATTGAAGCCTGAGGAAAGGGAACAGAAGCATAAAATATTGGGAGAATGTAGAAACATCAGTTGCAAAGAGACAAGGAACAAATCTCTAAATAGTACATGACAAAAATAACAGGCTGGAGGAGTTTACCTATGAACTGCAAAACTAAAAGGAAATTACATCAAATTTACAAAACGTGGAATACAGTATTTTAAACCCTGCATTGTTTCCTAATACCCTGTACTCCCTGTAGATGACTAAACTCAATCACATCATTATGCCAAACAAAACTAAGATATTCTAAACATGATTGGAGGTTCACTGAGGTCAGTAAGAGCCCTTTGGTTATCTTCAGTTAGATTGGTAACAGGTTATCTAAGATGGACACCTTCTTTATAGCCCAGTCTGGGCTAGCGTAGCAACAGGCAGCTGATAACCAAAAACTGTGGACTTCCAAGTTCATCTTGAAAACAGGCTATAGAAAAAGAAAGCTGATGTCAAGAAAGAGATGGTGGTATTTGCTTTGCTTGTACGGGACAGGCTGAGAGCTATAGTTCATGTTCAAAACTGCCTAAATATGTGCCTTGTAGCATAGTAAACATAAACTTCAGCAACTGAGCTTCCTCAGGGGAAACTGTGCTTTAATGGGCGATTAATTTCTTTAATCAAATAATTCCTATTCCTTCTATTCAACTGAATGCTTTTTGTATAAGCTGGGTTCTCTAAATATGGTAACTTGCAGTGAGAAACTGGTTTTGAAACGTACAGTCGAGTTCCCCTGAAGACATCGTCCACAGACCCTGGGGTCCCAGTACGAGAGTGGCTTGTGTTGATGGGATGCAGGGTACGTGGTGGTGGGTTTCGCCTTCTTGTGGAACGTGACAAGGATGATGTACTGAGCTCTAGAGCACGATTTGGCCACACTCTGGAAGAGAGGATGGAGCTGGAGCCTGGCCGTTTGTCATCCAGGTCCCTAACAAAAGAATCACAAAAAAGATATGATCAACATGACCGATAACTACCTGTTACCAAAGTACTCATCTACAGGAGTCTCTTTTTTTCCTTTTTACGTAACTATATAAAGTAATTTACAGCTAAATTAGAAAAGGAGAGGGGATGGAAAAGAAGAGAGAAGCGTATCTTTATTTTTTTTCCTTAACTATGAACTTTCTGATTGAAGATCCCAGTAAAAAAGTCACAGAACAGATTAAAAAAAAACCCCACACACTGTAAACTGTTTTCACACACATCCATAGTTCAGATCTAACACAAGTCCACTTCTTGGATGTGAGCAAATCAGTTCCTCTATCCCATTCTGAGCTTCATCTCTTTTCAGGATGTCAGTTAGTGCCAACAGTAATGCCACGGCTGTTCACTAAGTGGTAAACCAGCAGCAAGAAAACAGAAAACCTGTACTAGAGGCATACTGTTTCATAGAGGATAAACACATAGACAAACAAGCAGGAAAATAATTGAGAATGGCTTTCTCCAGTGTAGAAAATCATCTCACAACGTTTTGGATTGAATCCCTCTCACTGTGAGAGTGCTCTACTTTTCAACTGATGGTCTATAGTTCTTACAGTGTTTTCTCCATTACAGGCAGATTCCTTTGCTGTAACTGGATCCCATGTATCACCATCAAGCCATTTAGATTACGTTGAGAGCTGCTACTTGACCCTTGAGAGACATTTACCTGAAAGTTTAAAAAATAAGTAAATTACTGTTTGGCAGAGACATACACACGGTTACGTATTTTGTCGTAGTAAATAGTTTCGGAGGAAAGAAATCAATTTCTTCCATGACATCCAGATAGATACTCAGTTATATCATTTCCCCCTGTAAGACAGGCATCTTAGCATTCCATTTTCCTTGCAAATGGTAGTGCGTAGAAAATGTATCCCACCCCAACTGAGCTTCTCATTTGCATGACAGGATCTTCCACCAATGGCTATAATCAGAAGCTTTATGAAACTAATTTTCAGTGTGTGTTGACATTTTATGTTAAGAACAGAACTGCAAACTCCTTTCCTGGAATACAGACTGATCTGGAAAACCATCAAATTCCACCCACCATAATGACAGCAAATGGAAAATACCAGAGCTTTAATCTCTCCAGCATACATACTTGAGGTGTTTTTCTCCTCTTTTTGTTTTTGCGGCCACATCTGGGTTTTGGGCACTACGCATACAGTACAGGAAACATGAGGAAGAGGCAGGGTGTAGAAATAAAGGAGAAAGAAATAAAAAGAAGTAAGAAGGAACTGAATTAAAATGGAGTTAAACAGGTAACACTTTGATGCTCACTACTCTAGGAGCAGATCATCTAAAGCAGATTATATAGTCAAATTCAGTGTCTGAGAAAAAAACCCACCATTTTACAACTGCACTGAGATTTGTCCTCTGTTGCCTGATGAAATAACTATAGATAAGCTAGTGAGAACGTGATCTCACACACGCAATGCTCGATCTCACAATTTAGTTCAAACATCATTAAAACGTAGAACTACATCATTAATGAACAGTCACCACATGGTTGTCCAATACGTGTATAAAATACTAAGTTTTGAAGAGAAAAGTAGGACTTAAAACTTGCAACTGAGGAATAACAGAACTTAAGTGTTGGAAAGGACAGTCAGCATTCATACAAAATCCAAACTAGTTATGCATCTAAACAGTCCCCAGATGTACTCGAATCTGTTTGCTTAGGTAGCGCTGTATTGATTCGTACCTACACGAACCAGCTGGCTAAAAATACTTACCAGATTTGATGTCACTGAGGGCATTTTAGCTTGTGGCACACGAGGTAACGACACTGGCAGAGGATCAAACTGCAAAGGGCTTTCGGCATCTGCTCTGATTGTTTCTACTGTTATGATATTTTTCTCATCATCTATGCAAAGCAACAAAGAATTCCTGTCAATACAGACTATTGGCGGTGCTAGTTGTGGACAGTACTACAAATCCAACTTTTTAAAGGAGAGTCCTCTTAGATGGTAAGCTCTATTAAATCTTTTGAAAGCATGCCTCGTACTGTTAGCCAAGTAAACCCCCCCCGAAGAGATTATTCCCAAATACATCTCATTCTCATTGCATCCTTGCAAAATTAAGTAACTGAAATCCCCTTGTGAATCTTCAGTTTAACTGTGATCGTTACCAGAGGCTGACCCTTCCCAGTGTCTGCAGATTAATTCTTCCATGCAGCCCAGGACTTCACCCCACACATCATCAAACACAAACGTGAGCACAGAATCCTTCATGCAGGAATACGGAGAGACAGGAGGAAACCCCAGTTTCCGTCTACTGGAGGACAGTCCTATTTTCCTCTCGTGCAACTCCTCCTCCCTGTAAAAATGTAAGCATTACCTGTAACATAAATACATTTTCTTTGTCTCCTATATTTTTTTTGCATTTATTTAATATCATTAAAACATCAGCTAAGGCTGCATTTCTGTTCTATTTTCTCTTAAACTGAAATAGGTCAAGGCAGCTGGCCAAATAGCTTGAAGGACACTACTTCAGGAGAAGATTTGTATTTAGCACACAATATTATTTTCTGATAGCTGATAGTTTAATAAACAGCAATATCAGATAACAGTCTATTAGTGAAAGAATCAAGCTTCTGTACAATGGGCACCTGAACTTTTATTTTTTCCAGAATCTACCACTGACCTAAATGAGAGGTGACTGAGACAATCACCTTATTACTGCACGCCTTGGTTTCCCCATACAGAATGATTATAAATGATAGTTCATGAATAATAATTTACAAAGGAGATCAAAGTTCCATTTAAAAATAAATATTAATAGCTACAGTGATATTTGTTCATCACATTGTTAAGCTCCATATCTAACGTCACTACAGAATTCTGAAGGTGAGAGTGGAACGTTACTACTCATGGCTGTTTAATGCCACTCTTGGCCTGCTGCTCTAACAGCCAGGAGGTGTTCAGGGCAAGGGCTTAATTCAGTTTTAGACAATTAGACATAATCAATGAGAGGGGAGAGAAACCATCATTAACAGCAGCAAGTGGTCTTTGCTGCAGACTCTTCTGCAATGCAAGAGGTATTCTGAGGTGTTTTAAAAAAAAAAAAAAGTTTAGGTTCATCTGCCAAAAGAAACTTTATAGAAGGGAGAAAATAATACTGATGCAAGCACATTTATTATGCTTTCATACGTACTTCCTGAATTAGTACTTACCATCAAAAGCTACAAACCTTGTGGGGGAGGGGAGAAAAATCTATAACACTTCTAGTATTATTTTACAGAGACAGATGTATTGTTTGGTTCAGCAATGTCTCTCTGGCCTGGTCAAAGCAAGTCACCTACCAATTTGAATCTCATGGTCCATGCAGCTAAGTGGCTTTATTCATTAAAGCCAATTAAGTAGTTAGGAACTGACAGTACCATCCAGAGCCCTTACCCAGGCCATATGTTCATATTGTTGGGTTGAATAAAGGGGCAAAAAGAATCTCCTTTATGCCACCCTTAATCCTTTCTTCTTAGGATAAAAATAGTGGTAATTATTTCTAGGCAAGCATCAAATCCACTCTAATTCCTAAATTACCATTGAAAATCTGCAAAGGTACAATTCCACCCAAAATGCTAGTACAAAACCAAAGCAGCACACTGCTACTGCATAACAACCAACAATGAATTTGACTTAGTATAAAAAAATAAATGGCATTTTAAAAAGTTTTAATAACTGTGCCAATACATAGCAGGCTCTTCATTATGTGGAATGAACTATTTAAACCAGGCATGAAAAAGGCTAGTATGAAAAGATGCGGGTAAAAAAAAATAAATCAGAAAAATAATTTAGCAAACTAAATTGTTTTAGGAAATGGACTGGGAGAATTCCCAGTGCCCTTGCAACCTCAGGCCTTAGGAAGTTCTTAAGAGGAAAGATACGAAAAAAAATTAATTCATCAAATACTTTATCAACTAACATCAAAACCAATTTTATATATATATATTAACAGCAGAAATTCCAGGACACTGGTACTAGTTGCTGTCTTAATATCCAATACTTACACATCTCTGCGGTCAAATGCTAAATATTCCTCCATTATGCCTTCAGAGACAATTACTCCATCTTCACCTTCTTCGCTCTCTGGAGAGCACAAGGTTGGAGACTTGGAACGGTCAGCCTTTTTGTGAATGGGAGTAACAGAAAGAGGTACCTTCTTGCCAAAAACACTAAATCTGAACAGGTGACCGTTTTCAGAAAGCAGAAATGAAAGTAAGTTGTTATTTCACTTCAAATAGCAGCATTTGGTGCATTCTAAAACATTAAATAATAAAAGTAGTACTAATGTAGTGCTTTGTATTTTTTAACTTCTACACAAATTTAATAGATGATTAACAATAAAACCAGCTACAATACATACATATTCTTAAAAAGTCAGCAGCAGCAAAGGTATTTCTATTTACTGACCCGTATATTGACATTAGCAACAAACACAGCTACATAGTCTTGCTATTTGGAATGTACTGCTTTTAGTTAAAAAGAAAAGTGTGCTGTGTGCTTTTAGATAAAAAGAAAGTGTGATGCATCCAAATCTCAGCCTAACAGAAAGGAGTTAGGCTTCACATTTTAAGAAGCCCGTCACTGCGGTCCACTGAGAACAAAATTACCTTCCCGCCTTGGTACAGTCTGAGTTAACCACTGGTACTTACTCATTAGAATCTTTTTCTCGTGGTGAACTTACATCTGAGGACCGTAAACTGCCAGAAGGTGAACTTGAATACCATCCGTACCCTTCATCTGTGGGCATCACTATCTGCTTCCCCACAACCCTGCCGTGGCAAAAGCAAAGGACAAATAAATCAGAAAATGTTGAAAGTTAAGATTATTGAAGTGTATAAGAACACACAGCAGCAAATCCTAAACATTTTACAGGGAAGCTATGTGGTTTTCTTGGTGATAGTTTAATGTGGTTTCCGGTGTTTTCCCTAATACGGATTGCCTCAAGTCAGGTAAATACATTAAGAAAATTTTGCTTGTTTTTTTTATGCTCTGCTAATTGTCAGACTTTTGAATTTGACTATTCCAGTACATGTAATGAAGATTTAAAATTTAAGTTTTCAGATAGCCTTAAGGACTGCTGAGCTAGGGTAGGAGGATTTTGAAATTATTTTAAGCACCTGGCTTTTAGCTCTACCAGACACCTTTCCTAAGAGAATTTTGCTATGTTAAAGCCAATTCAGTTGCAAATAGCAATAATCCTCTGGCAAGGAACCAAATGAGAGATAGCAGAACATTTATTAATGACAATGGCAGGCAGACTACCAGAGTGACCTTTTTATCTCTATCTACTATATAATTGCATAAAACCACCCTGCTACTAACGTTGTTTTAAAAGCAACTGTTTCCATCCCTGCCCTTTTATAACTCTGTGATGGCCCTAGCATGAATCTATTAGTAAAATACCTGAGATGAGGAAAGTTGGCTGTCCACTGGTGGCATTCTTCCCGCAGTCCCTCAACATGCACATTTTCTTTCTGCTCATAGAGAAGCTCATCGATTTGTCTGAACATTTGCTCAACTTGTTGTGTGGCAGCTTTATCAAATTCCTAGACAGGAAAATTATTCAATAAATACCCAGTGAATAGCATTCGGTGGGGTTTTTTTTTAATTGATTTTTTTTTATAATTGAAAAAAAAAACTATTTGTTTGAAGCTTAGTGGGACTGATTTAACCAGTTCCAATTTCTTTTGCATAGAAAGACATTAACTTTAAATCATTTCCACGCCAGAGATGATGCAGATTGCTGTTAGGACTAATGGTAGCTACATAAAAAGCTCACGTTGACACAACAGAAAAACTATTAAAACATTTTGAAATATCTGTATTATGACATTAAGTTAAAGACAGTAATTTACATAGAAGAAATCAGAGCAGGAAGGACAAAATTCAGCGACATTTTAATGAAATGGAAAATTTGTTGCTTGCAATGTCCACAGATAACAGCAAAACAAAAAGCAATGCAGACCGGCGTGAAGCACTGTGGAAGTGAAGGATGTTTAGGACCTTTGTTACATGTCATCGTGTAGCTAGAAAATGGGGTCAGTTCTTGGGTAATTTAAATCTAAACAGTTCCATCTCACCTCAGAGAAAGCAATAGCACACTTTCTTTTGGTAGATGGAGAGTAAAACAAATATTTCTAAATGAAAATAGCCTTTTAGGGGCTTACTATATTTTGAGAAACATGCAAGTATGCAGGAGTTTGATAAACTCACAACAAGTGTCTGAAAGTCAGCCACTTGTGTTTGGGATTCCACAACAACAGCGTTTATTATGCTGTAGAGATACACTTACGCATTCAATGATTTGCATTTCCAAAGTTTTAGGCGGAAGTGCAGAATATTAACTGAATAACCTGAGCCTAATATGTTTTGATCTGAGAGAAAGGAAAGATGGGGAACAGATAAAGATGTTCTTTCTATAACCACTATCGTGATTTATTGACAGATCCAATCCTCATTCTTATCCTGAAATGTGTTTGCAATGATATTTCAGATGTCCTTCTACTCGCTGTGCTACATCTGGCTTGGATGGTTACGTTCTACTCACATCATAGCCCCAAGAGAAGACCGAGCTGTCTTCGGTGGAGGCATCGGCGTAACTCTCACTAGGAGACCATGAATTCCTATCATCAACTGGAGTAACAGAAGGGTAATCCGATTCCTTCACTTCAGACTCCCTGAAATGCACATGTTAAGAAAGAAAAAAAAATAAACCCAATGATACACAATGACAAAAAGAGCAGGTAGGTAAACTTTTCTTTCTGTACAAAAAAGCATAAATACATCAGAAGAGGTCTTAGCACTGATAACATTTTCACAGGGTAAATATTTACTTCACAGGCATTTCAGCAGTACAAAAGTAATTATAACAACTGTAACTCCTAATAATCTCAACGATATAGGAAGTCTAGAGGTCAAGCAAAACAAACACAGATTTACCACAAATTATCTTAGTTAAGCCACAGACTATTTCTAGTCCCAGTTCTACACCACTCAGGAATTATTTTTATCTTTTCTCCTCTTGTTTCTGCCATAAAATTAGATGACACAGGCTATTTGGAAGCTGGGAACCGAACACGGCTAAGCACTTTTTATTATTTCCAAAAGAGGAAGGACATGTTTTGCAGCACTACAGATCGGAGGTAAAGCCGAACCCTATGGACTCAAAGTAAAGGTAACTCAAACACCTGGTTTTGCCATTCTCTCCAGAAAAAGAATCGTTTTATGTTTCAACCGGTACCTTGAGTTCTCACGGTGGCTTTCAGCCGTGGGAGTGGTTGGGCACACCTCAGCCCGTGGTTCCGGCAGTGGATGATGCCGCAAGGCATGTTTTGGAAGTCCTTGTCTAAAACAAGAAGTAGAACTCATCATTACTTATAAAAATAAACATCTACAGAGTTCCCGAGCTTTACATGGTGCGGGGTGGTGGTTTCTGCTTTTCAAGGAATGCACTGATTTGCATAGCAGAGCTCATTTATTATTATCAGAAGGGTAATTGTTGTTGCCAAAGGTGTAGAATTAAGGTATCAAACCTAACGCTAGGCTAAACACGAGGTTAAAGGTCTTTGCTTACAAATCAGCGTCTTCCTTTAAATTTAAAATGTTGTGTTGTGAACTGGGCTACAGCTCTCTAAAAGCAGATATAACATCATTGTCCCTGTAAGAGACTTAGAATCAAACAGAACAACAGCAGCCGCCAAACCAAGCAGTGGCAAGTGAGGAGAAATAGCTTTTGCTAGTTTTTTGGGTTTTTTTTTCTTTTTTTTCCCAAAGTTTAGGTGTCTAGGGAAGAGGGACAAGAAAAATCAGAGTAGCTGGAGACAGAGGCATCAATGTAGGAACCCAGAGCAGCGACCTACCAAAACTGATGTGTTTGTTTAAGCCTCTCGCCCCTCCCCCCCC